GCGGGTCAGAACCCGATCACCATAACCACTGAATCATTACGACGGACAAGCAATGGGATCGATCTTGAAAGGTTTTTTGTTGTGCCCGCCTATACTTCCGCAATATCTTTCAGAGGAATCACCGCATTATCCTTCCGCTACGACATTTGGCCAAGGTTGCACTTTTTCTCATGTTCTTCGTGCATTTCGAAAATCAATCTGATAGTAGAATCCCTATAAGCGTGTACACCTACACACATGCACCATCCGCAACGTGTGGTTCAGTCTTATATTTGAAGCATAGTACACACATAATGTCACGACTCGACCTCGAGACGAGGAGGTAAAAGAGAATGCTTTGAAGTTCACTGCAGCCGCATGAAAACTTCAAGAATGGTGAAATGATTGCGGTGGCCAAAAATCGGTACAGGAAGCATGGCTGGCAGCCACAGCTTTTATATACACCTTTGGGGAACTCTACAAAACGCTAGTGTTAGAGAACACGGCAACAAATGGTGCAGCGAAAGTGGTTTCTGGGAAAGTAATGCACAAGTTTGCTGCGTGCACTCCCTTGGTAGGCCGACGTGGGGCCCAAAGAATGCAGCAATTTCGTTTCTGCTTGCTTGGCTGCTTTGCTGTGTCAGGATCCGTTCTTCTTTCTTGTTGACACGCATATACGCAACCTTCAGAGATAGTTGTAGCTCTTACGTAGAAATGCCCTGAGATGGTTCTTGATTTGAAAACAACAAAAATGGAAGAAAGTGAGTGAAGCACGGAATCAGAATACCCGGATGACTATTCGTTTGAAGCAGCAGCAACGGTCGATGAGAAAGCGCTGGACGAGTCATGGCGTCCATTGTTGCCTAGAGATCTAGTAGACACATTATCCAGGATATGCTGCGGGTGCAGTAATTACTCTGAGCAGCACCCGCACGTTCACCTATTGCCGAGCACTTATTGAGGTGATGTGTTGTGCTGATGCCGAAATTTCTCCTTTCTAAAATGTGCAACAGCGAAGATGTCAAAGATAGAGGAATAGTACAGGATTTATTTTGGTAGCAAATTTGTTTGTCATTGAACCACTGAATCTTCTCAGCACCGTGCAGTTTTTTTTTCGCTTTATCCTGCGCGGGAGATCCCTCTCGTCTGTGAGCATTTCTCACTGGTGAAGAGGCAATCAGTGCATCAACGGTTTCGACATGATTTGGACACTATGGACACGTTGGTTTCGAAAGATGCTCAGTATAAATTTCACTGAAGGTATGAAATTCGCGGATAACGTAGAAGTGGACGTGCGTGGTGAAATGCCACTTACCTTCCTCTATAATTGAATGGCCTGTAGTTTTTTTTTTCAAGACGTCGTCATTTTCATGTATAAGTCCGCATTGTTGTACGTGCGTTTTGCAGCACCATGCTAAAGAAACCGCAGTTCCTAACCATGGCAGTGAGTGTTATTCTTAACGTTAAGGGCTTCCCAGAGCGGTAAATTTCGAGGCGCGCCGTACAGACTGAGGACCGGTCTAGAGGTGAAGGATACTCAACATTTGCTCAAGGGCTAAGGCGTAGCCGGCACCTTACTTGTGCACCGATATGTACTTGTATATCATGTCAGTAAAAAGTAATAATACGCGCATTATACAAAAAAATTGGTATTGTAGAAAACTCATTCAAAACGAGACAAAATTGCATGAAAGCATCGCTTTTTTTAATGTGGGACATGACAGCATGAAGTATTTTACGAAATTGTACATCCACGAATAACACTCAAGCGCAAATGCGTGATGTGACAGCTCCAAAAATTGCGCACTAATAGATGGGGTGATGAACAAGCACACATACGGGACAAAGACACGCGAAAGTTTTATCCCAATAGGATATAAAAATAGGTGTACGAAACAGATTCAGTCATTCAACATTAGCAAAAATTATGATTTTTCCGGGTAGTCTCAACCGATACACGAAAACCACGCACAGCACGGTTACATCACTTCTAATCGACGTTATAAACACATCAGTTGGGATGATTGAGCGTGGGCGAGCGTTAGTACCCATGAAAGCCGAGAACACACAAAAATGACAAGACGATTACACAGCGAGACAACTTCCTACAAAAAGATGCTACCTTTGCAAGGCTCTCGTGAAGTGCAAATAACGACTCCTGCATACTCATGCAGCAGTCGGGACTCCATTATGCAGCTAAGTGGAAGGAAGGCAACGTTAACATTGTTGATACGATAAACACCTACCATGCGCAATTAACACCACGTTTTTGTTGCGGCTGCATAAGGTGCACAAGAGCCTCTTTAAGTTCTATATTCTCGGGCAGTCTGTTTACTTCCTACAAAGGGCACTTACGCATAGTCTTACGCCAATAGAATACCATAGGCAACAATTAGCACGCAGTCGTACAAGGAATGTGATGACAATGCCTCCGGTGGTGACATACACACGCCATAAACTTTATCATGGACATGAGCGCCGGCTGACCAATATTTAGTAGAAAAGGCTCTGGGAGGGGCTATTCGCTCCAACGGATCACAAGTATAAACTTGAATAATGGTTTATTTTTAAATGTGGCGAACCTAATGGTATACGTCATGTGGCCAAACGCACTTATTCTTTTGCGATGCTTTGAGTTCCACCGCGGTAAAAAAATTCTGGACCATATCTGCGAATCGAAACCTGATGGAATGCGAAGCAGCAGCGGTGCGCACGGCGTTGACCAGGTTGAAACGGGCGTTGACGCAGGTGCTGAAAGAACGGCTTGAAGCGAATCTCAGATTAGCGTTTAGTCGAGTAAACGCTCCTTAGAAACGCAAAGACACGGTAGGCGGGTTTGGTATTGTGCAAGTTTCATCGTAGATAAACGAGCCGAAAGATTAGACAGACTAACCTCCGTGTCCACAAACGCTGCTTGACTTCAGGTTCACTTGCCACAGACTTGAATGCAGCACGAGCACGTTTCTAACGCACTGTTCTTAGGCGGTGCCAAGACAACACAAACGCACAGACGCCTTTCAAACGCGCTACATTAGGCGGTTTGAAGTGAACTTCAAATCGAGGAGCATTTGAATGCAGGGGTTAGTCACGTGTTCACAGCAACCGTACGGGCGCAGCCTGCTAGCCATTTGCAATGGCAGGACGCGCCCTTGCGGCTGCTGCAGACCCGTGACTAAATATGCCTAATGGTTCAGCTCGACGTGTGGTCGAGCATTGCGGGCGGTGGAGAAGGTGAAGTGAGAAGCTTGTTGCAAACCGGTGGAGTAGCTGGAAGCTACAGCAGGTGAGGAAGAGAGTGATGTCAACGCGCAGCTGCAACTTGACCGATTTGGCATCGCCTAAACACCTCCGGCGAGGGAGTTGTGCGGAAAGATTGGCAGCGTTACGCAGGCTAGTCAAGGAGTGGCATCGCATCCAACAGCTATTGTTGCACTTTACCACCACACGCTGCTGATTACAAGCAGACTTCTAAACTGTTATGTGTTACTGTCACTGCTTGTAATAGCGGCTGGACACCGTGGAGTATTACGAACAGTTTTTAGCGTTTGTGGCACCGCAGTCCTACGGAAAAAACCTAAGAAACTTGGTAAGATTAGGTCTAGCAACTTCTTGGTGTGCTATGCTGCTCCTGTGCCATCCAATTTTCATGGACCTGGAGATGTTAAAAACAACGAAAAAGAGTCAACTGCTAATTCGTAAAAACATCAAAAATGATAAGAAAAATAATGCCAGGAAAACCCGTCACAGGGCAATAGTACAAGGGTAAAAGAAAGAACGCAGACACAAACAGACACAGACAAATAGAAGAAGACAGCAAGAACACGGCGTTTGTGTTGTCTTGACTCTTCTTTTGTGTGTCTACATGCGTACATTATTTATGACAAATCTGTATTAACTAGTTGAACTTCCTGCCGTTCTAAGCACGATGCTGCCACTCCTCTCGTTCTCCCCCAAGAAACAAATATTCCACTTTACATTCGCAGACATTGAGCAGCTCGAGACAACTGACTTCATTACGTCCTGTAAATCCGAACATACACAGGTTTTCCAGATACGTTCTAGGTCACGCAAACAAGCTCAATGTTACGCGCACTGCAATGCGATGATTACGTAAGACATTTTTCTCGAGATCTCGTTGTATTGTTCCGGTGCAGCATTCCGACTTTACTTGATTCGTAAACATTTATAACACGACGCACACAACGACGCAGCAACAGGAACCACATCTGAGCAAATCTGTCACACTTCGGGAGAGTTACATTGTGATAACTAACCCACAAACAACTCGGACAATCAGAAATCTAGGCACGTTGTTGCATAGACTTATGCCACTACTCGAAGAAGTGGTACTTTTCACAAAAGCGAACCGCAGAGGTGCTGACAAAGAGGGTGAACACAAATAGGCTGACGCACATGATACATCCAGTAATAAGTGTTGTCGTATCTTTTTTTTTTCATTTCTTCTTAATGGCGTAGAGACAGAACTACATAAAGAGAGGATCGTAGTAGACCTTCACTTTTTGTGTTCATATTAAAATTCCACGTGTATAATCTAAATGGTTTTGTGTATCGGAAATCTGGGCAAAAAACTTCAGTGAATTATTATTGTTTCTTGCATCAAAGAACAAAATTCACTAGATGAAGTATTTTTGCAGTCATATATCTTAACAAGGGCAAATAATTAACATGCGAACATTGAACGGTAACGTGGTGAGACGGGTGTATAGTGTAATATCACAATTATCCCATAAGTTTACTGTGCGACACCATGTATTTTCAACAGGCACCTAAGTGCGCGGGTTTTCGCCAATTTGAAAAACAAAACATAGTGGCCCGGTGTGTCGAAGATACCTATTTACAAGATTTCAACCTTACAAATAAAAAACTAAAAATTTCACAATTTCTTTTGGTGCGTCGTTTTCAGCACTGTGGAACAGGAAGGGGTGTTTGAAGCATAAATAACGCAGTACATACACCTGTAACACGATTTGCTAAGTAGGAGTCAGGATACGATCATTCTGCACTTCGAGCTAATTAAACGGAACGTCTGCCTGCTCACTGGTAATGTTTGCGGAACATGTGAAGCCGCTTGAGAAGGCATAGCGTGAATGTATATACGCCGATAAGCGGCGCGGTGATTGCACTCCGACGAAGCACCAGCACTAAACGCAGTCGTGGAAGGCCAGTGGCCTAGCAATTCGTCGCCTCAACTTGGCCATGTTGTCTACGATGAGCTTGTTCTTTGGATCCAGAGAGAGGGCCACTTGGTAGTGTCGAAATGCAGCTGGGTAGTCACTCTGGAAAACAACGCGTAGCATACAATTTCTGCTAGAAGAACCTGCACAATGAGTTCTGCATTGGATAAGCAGTCGCTTAAGCCCAAGGGCGGCCACTAATTATTACGTGTTTCGGTGAAGGCAATAATTATTGACGCATGATTAAACCACTTATTGCAATGCGTTGCTATATCGCAACAACAAGGCTAACCTCCAAGTGCCTGATCACCGCAAGGTTCAGATGAGCGTGAGCAAGATCAGGATCCAGACGAATGGCGACTTGATAGCTCTGAAACAGAAAACAAAAAGGCGCATTGAGTATTTTATGTCTTTTTAACATGTTATTTACCTAAAAAGGAGCAAATATTTGGCGTAGTAGTGTAGGGAATTCAAGCAGGTGTTTCTATAAGCATGCCTTATAAGCAGTGACTCAGCCGCAGGAAAGAAGTTTAAGGAATTTACAATTATTTGAGAAATATTTCTAAATTTATTTGAAAAATATCCTGAGAAAACTTTTCAATAGCATTTACATCCTTAACCACACAACATATGTGCACTTAATAAACGGGGAAGGATAATAATTCTACTGTTAAGATGCGGAGACATGAAATGTCTTCAATTAGGTAAGAAATTTTCATTTACAAAAACTAAGAATTATATGAATAGTGATATACACAAATGTATATATATATATATATATATATATATATATATATATATATATATATATATATATATATATATATATATATATATATATATATATATATATATATATATGTATATTTTTTTTTTTCAAGTAATGTTATGCAACAGCTATTTTTTGTTTTTTAATTAAATTTAGTCCGCATCATCATACCAGAAATTTGAGTAGCTCCGGGTAAAATTGAGGTAAAGTTTAACAAAATATCAAATTTTATCCCTACATGCTCCTGAAACTATAACGTGTTTTTATTTTATTTCGGCTCGAAATACTACTATGTAGGCACACCTAATCTACGGGAAATTATGTCAAAACAATTGCAATAATATGCGTGTTGGTATAATTCACAGACACAAAGTGAAGAGCTAAAACAAAAGTGGGTGTTTATTTAGGCTTTCAGCACATCATAATTCTCCTTAAGCTATGTCATCGAGTTTTAAAAAATGGTTCATTACTCTGATAAAAGCGCGTGCCTTGTACGAACCTGTGCCGATGAGCTGAGGTCATTTAAGTCCTTCAGTATGTCACCGTGGTCGCTGTGTATTTTTGCACATAAGAGGTCGTCAACAGCGCACAACTTTGGAGCCTTTAATATGTAGTCCAGTGCCTGAAAGATTAGGAAAGACTCACTAATAATCGATCATAAACATTAGTACAGGAACGCGCGGCGGTTCATACATTCTTAAATTATATTCAGGACTACTGAGGGAACTCTCAGTGGGGATGCAGCAAGTGCCCTATAAATAAGTAAATTCACTTTGTTTCCTTGAGAGCTAAGGCAGTATGATGGCATGTAAACATGGTAGTCAGGAACATTAAAGAATAATTCACATTGATTCAAAGCAAAGTTCAGCGAGCTTGCTGTGAACACGTAGCAGTAATAACTCCCAGATGAGGAAATTGCGCAGCACGTTCACTAATTATAGAAATCAACTTCAGCACCATTAACAAATTGCCTATTCTGTATTCATTTAATATGAAGATATCAACCCAGTTCTTGTAGTGCAACACGGTTATAACAGTAATATTCACAAGTTAAAGTAATTTATAGTTGAGTCCCTTTATTTGGTCTGTTCAACAGTATCGTAGCGGTACAGCATCACTACAGATTATATGATGTCATTCAATGAATACTCTGTAGCCATCCACACTTGTGTATTAAGCGGATCTGATAATCACAATGAATTATATCCCGATTGCAAAGCTGGAAAAAATAAAATTGGGGACCTTTCAGCTTCGCCTTTAACAGCTAAATGCAATAGCGATAATTTTTTATTAGTGCGTACTTGAAACATTAGGTTTCGGAAATCTTTATAAGTTGCTATGCACGCGCAACTTGGCCTTGAGAAAGCAGTAACATGAGTGCGTTTTGCAGTGGGTGACTGACTTTAAGCTATGAAGTCGTTACGATAATATCATGTACTGACGGCCAATAGCGCTTGTACCACGCGATACTACTGCAATAATTCATGATCTATTATGAAGAATGTATGTGTGTTTGGTAAAGCGTGAAAGTTGCTCTCATTGTATTTTGAAGAGGAGGAAGTTATTTCTGCTGTATTCACAAGCAGAGACGTGGCTGTGTGGTAGAACACCCGCTTGCCACGTAAACAACCCGGGTTCGATCCCCACTCAGACCGAGAATTTTTAGTTATTCATTTCTTTTGCGTCTTTCTCAATTCTTCGGTCACACAAAGATCACGATTTTTCACTCACAACCAACGACACTGACACCAATGCGGACGCCACAATTTCCACGAAATCAGCTCTTTTATCTCGTTGAAACATGGCTGCTCCATACCAAAGGCTACGATTTAGAAGCCCTTATACTCCTTGCTTTCTGAAGCAGATGTGAAATTAAAAACAAATTGTTCTATGTGTGCGCAAAATACTCTTTTCAGACGTCTAAAGTACATTTGTGAACTGTTAAACTCTTGCGAGAAATTAAGTTACTTGAGTCATAAGCATTAAAGGTACGATTTACACAAGGACCGCAAGATTGCCCACACTATTATGTTATGCAATTCGTTAAACAGCTAAGGGGCAGTAATCAATCAGTCAAGCTAAAGGAGAAATAAATTACAGCAATTTTGAGTTGACGCAGGCAGCGAATAGAGCAACCAGCGACTCATTTTCTATGCAGAGTCAAATACATCGTTTGCACACAGAATAAGTGATTGATCGACTTGACGAAATGCAACAAGTACCTCGACTGTTTGGTTGATGTGGTGGTATAACAGGGCAGCCGTGTGCAAGGCACCTCTGTCAGTGCTGTTGTGGTCGATCACGTCGAGCAGAAGGTCCTCAGCAGCTCGAAAACTTCGAAGTTGAATTAGGAGCTGAGCCTGAAAATGGAGTTGAAACGAAACACTGTATGCTGCTTTCTACAATACCTTAAATCCAGAACAGTATTGATTGAATGCTTTCACCTAACAAAGCAGGAATACAACCCCGTTTACTTAGAGAAAAAAAGAAATTTTGCCTCTATAGATTCAGCAGTGTCTACACAATATACAGCCACGCAACTTCTGCTCACATTTGACGTCTCTCAATATATCTTTAAAAATACGTTAGGGTCAAACCCAACGCTCTGAAAATTATGCTTCTTCTTTGACACTCTCTTGAGCTTTCTTCTATATTAGAATGAATGCGCTAATTTTTTCTAGCAACATTATTCGTGCGAGCATGTAAGTTGATTGAAAAGCACGCATACCAGTCTTGTACTCTTGTAACTACTTAGCTGGTATTACGTAAGCAGCTTTCTGAGACGTACTCGCATAAAATTTGCGGTAATAACCTAATGATGTTATTTGTACGAATAATGCAGAGTCATAAAAAGTGAATGGTAAACCACTTCACATGAAATACATTTATTATTGTAAAATACTGTCCTTGTCTGGTGATATCAGGCCTTATTATACTTTAGTCTTTAGTTTGTCAACGAGGGGCGTACTCAGGCGGTGGCACACCAGGCCCGTGTCCCCTCCGCTACCAAAATTGTTTTTCGTCCTGACATAGAGAGCGAAAAAATAACCATTTCAAGGATGTGCCCTCCCCGAAATCAAAGAGGTGCCCCCCCCCCCTCCCCGAAAAAAAATTCTGGCTACGTGCCTGTTTTCAGCAAGTGCTTCATAGCTTCTTTTTAATGAGAGACAATTAAACTGCAGCGCATATAAAAAAATCTGCCTATTTTTTTTTCATTCCGTGCATCTTGCCTAATGGTAAATAGCATTAAATATAGACAAAAGATTTTATCAATGACAAGAAGTAATAAAAGTATAGCACAAATCGTCTCTCGTGCTTATTTCGAATTTTCTCTCACGTGAAAAGAAGCAGTCCGCACTGCCCAACAGTGCCAACAGACCAGCTGTTACAAATTATTACTTCCTAGCGAAAATTTATGTTCGTCATTTCCTACTCACATAGTGAACCTTGCTGTCGCGGTGGTCCGGGAAACGCTTATCTATATCCTTGAACAGCTCTCTTGCTTCATCCAGTCGGCCAGCGCTGACGTAGAACACAGCGAGGTTGTCCATCACCTGCGGATCTGGCTCAGCAGCAAGGGCCCTGTCCGCAATACACTAAACTTGATCATGAACAGTGAAGCTGAGAGAAACCAACTAGTATTTCTAATTCACGTGTTGCATAAACGGTGTTAGTTTAACAGCAACGTGTGTTTCTTCAGGCTGCTTCTGATGGATTCAGCAGCTTGTTGTTTGTTTTAAGAGCATCAGCCGCAGAATTGGCATACACAATCGTTCATTACACGCACAAACAACGCTAAGAAGGTGTGCCACAAAATGATTTTGTAGGAAGTCTAGGCTAACAAGAAAAGTGTGTTAAAAAGGTTGGAAAATTCACTTTCTGATATCTGAGACGTCATATGATGTAGGATGTCTCTCCGCAAGATCTTACATTCAAATGCACACCTTGAACACACAACGGTGTTACTCCACTAAGTACAACTGAGGCAATCTTTCGAACGATAGCGCCACAGCTCTGCCTCACTAATGCGTCCACTGCTATCTGAAAGGCTTACACGAATTAGGGAGGCTGAAACGCATTTTAGGTTTATGCTCACTTCTTTTAAAGTCCTCCCTATTGTGACTTCTGTCGAATTGAACAGGTGGGAAACTAATTATTTGAGGCATCAGCCATGGTCTTCGTGGGTTTAGGATTAGTTAATGTGGACATGCTGTAAAAGAAATGGTCGGTAAATGGAATAAAATTAACATACTCTTTCTTTAGGTCACCTCTTATGTCATCACGGCGGAGCATTGCCACAACACCACGGAGGTTCGTTTGTTAACTTTGTTCTAAGGAGCATGGTCGGCTGTAGGTATAACCTCGTAGCTAACCTCTTGTAGAGGCTTTCGGCCTGCATGTTTAGATTCATGCTCCGAAGGCTCTTAGCTGCGTTCAGAAGTGCCACGGTGTGGTTTTCTTGGATGTCGAGAGCTTGATGATACTGTGCCATGGCCTCTTTAGCACGGCCTGTAAAGAGAAGAGCATATGGTTACCCGAATAAGATCATAGAAAGGCAGAAAATGCCTAAAAGTAATCCAGGTTGAATTAGAGATTAGAAATGATGGAAGAGGGTTGTTGTTGGAGTTGAACAACACCCATTGCCGTACTAGTGACATTGCTAGTTCAACCGTTTCACGCTTCGTCTTCTGCAGAATTTCCGCAGTATTGAAATTTTGAACTCTTGTTCTTTTTGGTGTAGACAATCATGCTAGGCAGCCGCACCTGATAACGCTTAAATATTTAACCTTCCTTGCAACATATCTTGTTTATATTGTTGATAACTTCAGAGGTCCTGCTAGATAACAATGTAATTCTTTTAACATTGTATAGCGAAACATATTCAACCTTTTCATTACGCTCGAGATGATGAGTATAGTTTGAGACCAGAGGTTGGGAAACGTATAGGTTGCAGGTGCGGTTTTTAGGGCTATAGCTGATATGAATTACGTATAGTATATTAAACAGGTGACTAGTTACTTAGCTGCCGGAAAGTACATATTATGTCACTAAGTGGCACGACTTAGAGTAGTAGAAGACACTCTAAAGACGGCCTCACCCTGTGACTGAAGGAATGTGCCGTAGTTAATCCGGGCATCGGCATTTCTGTCGTCGCTCTTTAATGCCATCTTGTGCAGCTTCTCGCCTTCAGATAAATCACCTCTATTAGCCGCGAGGACAGCAAGCGACGAATAGGCCTCGCTAAAATCGGGGTCAAGCTCCACAGCACGCTTTAGCAGGGCTCTTGCGACATCTTTTTGGCCTTGCTTACTGTACATAAAAAACAACGGATATTTCTTTCAGTTATTCTTGGGCAAACTGTTTACTGTAGGATAGATTGATTTTTGGCAAACAATGAGCGAAAGATTACTCTGGAAGCATGTACAGAAGATGAGAGGTGGAGCATAAGTTGAAGTGCGAGGCATGGTCATGACAACAGACAAAATAAAAAGTGATAGGCACAGTTGAGTTACTATGCTTTTATTACGACCCTACCAATGCATTACCAATATGCGTTGGAAGGGCCTTTTTTCTTTTTTTCGGTTTTCTTTCTCGTGATTGTGGTTCTACGCAGCATGGCTGCGCTAACTGTACTGCTTAACTGCCTCAAAAGTAGGGAAACCCTATGTACCTGTAGATATTGGCCAGGTTGAAATGAGCTCCTGGGTGGTTTGGGTTGACGTGCAAGGCGTATCGAAAGTGATGTTCAGATTCTTCCGCCGATGTAAGCACAGTGCCCAAGTTATTGTGAGCGCTGGCATGATCTGGCCACAACCTGGGGTGCGAAAAGCAGAAGGAATAAATCAAATATCACCCTGTTTTAATACGCCCAATTTTCTGCTGCAATAAACACTTAACGCCATCACCAGCGCAAGCGATGGCCTCATCAATCATTATAAGAATAAACTTTTTCTTAAATTCTTTTCACCTCAACCTGCTTACGTAATGCGGTCCTGTCAAAGAATAGTGGCCAGACACCATTTTGTTAAAAGTAAAGTTTAAAAGACAAGCTTTAGCGGCTGTTTGGCCCGCGTATCACCTTAGAAATTCCGCGGTGTACCGTTTGAAAATCTCGATGCCTCGTTTAAGGGCTGGAATGGTCTTATTTGAGTGCCTATGTAACGGTGCTAGCTTTTCGCTGAATGTCACTTTGTTCTGTTGACCAGCGGAGCTTCAAAACACTTGTAACTTGAAGAAAAAATAAATAATAAACAACGCGTCAAGACAAGAATACCCGGTATAACGAGCGTCGAATAAAAATTGGCCCCAAATCTGAATGTTCACCTGCAAATGTCGTCGAAAGACGATAGTCTTCCGTCTGGAGAGAGTGAACGAAAGGTTTATTTGACCTTCTGCGCAACAAAATTGGTGAATGGTATTCTGGAAGCACTGCGTTAGAGAGCCTCGAGCATGCAGTGGAGGCAAACGAGCACAAGTCACGTCACACCTGAGAGATGAGCGCTATCTGCCAGTTATCTTGGAAAACGAAATGCATGGCTCTGAGACGGGCGCACGCACCCGTCTCAGAGGTGGTAAGGTGTCGAACACAAGGCGGCGGGTAGGTGGCACCACCGTTTCGTCTTAGCAAAGCGTTGAAAGCATACCCCTCTTCGTGCAAGCATTGCACGGTCAGCGCTGCGTGATAAACTCTACGGTCCTTGGAATTACTCATGTATGCATTTTCCAATAAAAGACGGACATACAGAATATATACGTGCTGTTATGGTGCCACAGTTATGCGCGATAATTGCTTTTTAATTGACAATCGCATAAGTATGAACGCTGAACCTCGAGCAACATTGACGGGCGCTGTGGATGCTGTCGGCCATTAAGGGTATCCGCTAGTGCCATGTGTGGTACCGTTAGAAATGGAGGAACAGACAAAAGGACAGAAAGACAGACACACCAAAATTTTTGTGTCCAAGGTCCCCAAGAAAAACTATCGTCTTTAGAACTACAACAACAAAGAACTCACTCGATTGCTAGCCTGTAGTGTTTGATGGCCAAGTCCGAGTTTCCTGTGTCCTTCTGCAAATTAGCGTAATTGTAATGCATCTTTGCGTTTCCCGGAAGGTCTCTTATACCAGATCTGGAATAAACAAAATGCCTTGTTCACATCATTTACATATATTGAACACAAACACAAAAAAGACAGTAAAATGACTCACAATCAGCATTTCACTAACAGGGAATGTAAAAGTAGCTTGAACTTCACGCGAAAACGATATGAATTTCACCCACTCGAACAGGGCTTCCCTGGATGCCCACACGCCGTTCCGGTTCCAGGTGCGTGCTGTGAAGAGCACCACTAGAATGAAGCAGGGGCTCGTGGTGCACCACCGGAGTGCTCTAGAGCACCACGTGTGAAGGCGGGACATCCCTTCAGCCACCAGCAGAGTGACGCCTATGCTGCAATAAAAGTAATTCTACTGCAGCAAATTTCGCAGCATCCTATAGGTAACTGGAAGATCAAACAAAAAACCTTGAATTTGCTACGGCGAAGAAATAAAGGCCGAAATTTTTGTCAGTCATGTGCATTTCACAAGATGAGAAACGCGTGTCTCTAAAAGACTGCTGATTGATTGGCGAGCCAAGCGCAACGCAAAAAGTTAAAGGAGCGTTTCTCGCGAACAAAGAAGTGTGGTGGAAGCCACGAACTGAAGGAATCACTGCGATGCGAAGCAGTCAGCAGAGATGCGCGTACATCACCCAGTTTGTATATGAGGCAAATGAAGAGAATCATGTCTGAACATTTAGTTCGCTATATGTATCGCGTGCTTGTCATACATGGATGTATGTACAATATGGTATATACTATACTGATGAAACTAGCATGGTATATACAATGCATGATCTGCCATTTACGTGCATCACCCACTCCAGTCATGCTGTACCAATTTTGGTATATAGTAAGGTAGAAAGCGCACCAAAGCAGAGTCATGTATATAATTTCATATATGACATGCGTATCCTAACTTACATATGTTTGCCCTCGTCATTTATGCTCATCAGTCACGTCTATCATTACCAATGTTTGTGCATATAAACCGAGTGAACTGGTCGTGAGTGCACTGTGAGCATGGCATCTTAATGATGCCGTACATGACATGAATACCATTATTTTCTTGTGACCACCTGCCATTTCTGTTCGTTTTCCCGTCACGTTTCGCAATACAAGTTTTGGTGTATGTCAGTGTAGCTTTACGTTTGCGAGATAGTGCGAATCGGAATGATCATATTGAACAGGTGCACGCTTGCTATATACTGTATGATTCCTGCTTCGCTCCCATGACACGAGTACGGATTTATTATGGCATGGAATGCAAAACCTAGGACGGGCAAGTCTGTTAGATGATTTATTATTCTGTACCATTGCGAGATAACCAATGATGTGACTATGAATTATGTAGCATCATGTAACATTTGCTCACCTATCTAAATCCACGTAACAGACGTCTTATGAATAAGCATGACACAACACCCCCACCACCTCTCTTTATCTACATTTATTAAAACATGCTCAGGTTCTAATAATCACGCTTGCGACAAATCGCATGCCTAAAATGTCGTACCTAACAATCATGTGGCTGAAATCGGCAACATCGCATCACAGTGATTTTCATGACATGTCCCCGCCGAAATAAATACCGCACACGCTGGTCACGTGGCATGTTGATTGATATGTGGAGTTTAACGACCCAAAACCACTATATGATTATGAGAGACGCCCACGTGGCATGTTACCTCCATGAACCAGGTTACAGCCTTTTTGTGACCTTTTGTTGTTAATATGTGGTGATGTCGAGCAGAACCCGGGACCCAAGGATGATCAAATTACTGAAATACATAAAATGGTGAAAGATATGCAAGAACGTTCGATTCGCATTGAAACCACGCAAGCGGTAATGTCAGGTGACATCCAGGAGCTTAAGCAACATCAGCTTTCGCTTACTAAAGACATTTCCAACATATTGACGCGCCTGGAAACGGTTGAAAAGCGGACATCCATTATAGACAACATTCAGCGCGAACTGACGGCAACGAGTCAACTTACAAGGCAAGTGCAGGGCGACATGCTTGGTCTACGTGCGCGTCTCGATGAGGCTGAGGATCGCTCTCGGAGGGATAATCTAGTATTCTTTGGTATCGCAGACAATGCCTCTGAAACTACGCAGCAGACTGAGGAAACTATCTTGAGCTTATTTCGCCAGTCCCTTGATCTAACTTTATCTGGTGATAACGTTGCACGCGCACATAGAATCGGCCGCTTTTCCACTAATAAAGTTCGTCCGATTATAGTAAAATTTTCCACCTACAAAACGAAAGAAATGGTTCTTTCAAAACGTCACATGCTCAAAGGAAGCAAAGTGGTTATGCGGGAGGATTTTTCTGCTAACACTCGCCGTACTAGAGCAATGCTGACCAACTTCGCCAAAGAGCTTCATTGCCCTTTCAGTGTGCGCTATAACAAACTTTTTGCAAATGAGAAATGTTATGGCTACGACTACGTTACTGATACAGTGCATGAAATCGGGCCATCCAGACGCGTAACTAATAACGCTAGTGTCGCCAACTCCTCTTCTCGGCAACTTCGTTCTGGTCGACAATTTAATGCTTCCTCGGGAAGCTAGGATGAAGCAAGGGGTGGTGGCACTTGCGTTGACCACAGAAAATTGATCGTGCTGTCTACTAATGTTCGCAGCCTCCTGTCCAAGAAAGATGAAATGAGTGCAGCAGTTAATGATTCAAACGCCGATATTATTGCGGTAACTGAAACGTGGCTTTGCGACAAAATACGAAACGAAGAGCTGCTGTGCTGTGATAAAAAATACAAAATATATCGCTGCGACAGACCTAATAGATGTGGCGGTGGTGTTCTTCTTGCGGTGAATGAGAGCATTGAAAACTACGCTGTTGCAATAGACTCGGTTTTGGAGGCAACATGGTGTTGCCTCAACGTGGCTTTTAGAAAAGTTGTCATTGGCGTATGTTACCGCCCACCTTCAGGAAGTGCAAACTTTTGCAATGACCTACATGATTGTCTGAGCCATGTGAAGGTTTTGTTTCCTCGCGCAGCTGTGATTCTACTAGGCGATTTCAATTTCCCTAACATTGTGTGGTCAAATTCTTATTCATATTCCTTGCCTAACTCAGTGGAAGCGGAGCATTTTATTCGCATCTGTTCAGATTTTGGTTTGACGCAGCTTGTTAATTTTCCTACGCGCGTTACCGATACTACGTCATCCATTCTTGACCTTATATTGACATCAGAACCAGATATTGTATCTTCAGTGTCCAATGTACCTGGTATCAGTGATCACGATATTATTCAAGCAAATATATTGCTGCCATTCTCACGCATGCGTAAGCAGCTTAAAACTATACGGGATTACAGAAAGGCTGACTTTGACTCAATTAACAAGGATTTGGGCACATTCCTAGATGAGTTCTTACCCAACTACCCTGAAAGATCGGTGCAGAGCAACTGGGACTTATTTAAAGCTAAAGTTTCAGAGCTAACCGTTAAACATATCCCTATAAAACAAGTTCTTTCCAATACACGTGCTCCATGGTACAACAGATACATAAACCGCCTTTCAAACCGTAAGAAAAGGTTTTATCGTGCTGCTGTCAAATCCCCGTCTGATAAACGTTGGTCTACTTACAAATCTGCTGCCACAACCTATTTATCTGAAGTGAAACGAGCTAAGTCTTCCTTTTTTAGTCACACTCTACCGGTTATGCTGAAAAATAACCCTAGACAGTTTTGGAATTTCGTGCGTGGCAGCGAGCGCCGCGCTATAGCCTTGCTGACAGCTGAAGGGCATCCCGTGCCCGACGTAGAATGCGCATCTGTACTAAATGACACATTCATAAAAGCTTTCTCTCACCAGGCGACCATCAACAACCAAATCTCCTTGCCGTCACCCCATTACCTACCTATGGACGCTATCTTCGTTACCTCGGAAGGTATTCGTGCGGTCATTAAGAAACTTAAAAACTCATCATCATGTGGAGTTGATGGTATCAATGCTAAATTCCTGAAGAACACTGTTGAATACTCCTCTATTATCCTGTCATGCATTTTTTCACAGTCCCTGCAGCATTCTAGCCTTCCGGAAGACTGGCTGGTCGGTAAGATAGTGCCAGTTCACAAATCAGGGCTAACACACAATCCATCAAACTTCCGTCCAATTTCACTGACATCTGTCCCGTGCAAAATACTTGAGCATATCATTTTCACCCACCTTGTTAACTTTCTCGAGTCTAACCAGTTTTTCACACCCTCGCAACACGGTTTCCGCAAGAATTTTTCTTGCGAAACGCAGCTCTTAGTCTTTACAAACGACCTGCATGTCCTACTCGATTCTGGATTCACCATTGACTGTATTTTTTTAGATTATTCTAAGGCATTCGATAAGGTCAGTCATCAGTTACTACTTCTTAAGATGAAACACTTAAACCTAGACCCTAACGTGTTTAACTGGATTCGAGCCTTTCTTTCCAACCGAACACAGTTTGTTTCTGCTAACAATATTGATTCCCCCGTCCAGCCGGTGCTCTCGGGTGTTCCCCAAGGCTCTGTGTTGGGACCCTTACTGTTCTTAATTTTCATGAACGACCTGCCAACTAATGTCTCATCAAAGGTATGCCTATTCGCAGATGACTGTGTAATTTATCGGAAAATAACTAACCAAAATGATGTTACCTCGCTCCAGACGGATTTAAATAACATATTTACCTGGTGTCAATTATGTAACATGGAACTAAACATTTCAAAATGCAAAGCAATGCGTGTGTGCCGCACCTCACTTGCGTATCCAGATTATCATCTCAATGATACCCACCTCGAGTCTGTTTCATTTTACAAATACCTAGGTGTTCATATTTCCAGTAACCTGTCATGGAACCACCATGTGGAGCACATCATCGCCAAGGCTAACCGTTCTCTCGGGTATTTTCGCGGGAACTTCTACATGGCGCCCTCATCCCTTAAGAAACTTCTTTACACTACTTATATTCGTCCATCACTTGAATACGCATCATCCGTCTGGGATCCTGGTGGCACTACACTTACACATGAATTAGAAGCAGTCCAGAATCGTTCAGTTCGCTTCATTTTAGCCAATTATAACCGCACGGCCAGTGTTACCTTAATGAAGTCCCAGCTCAACCTTCCTGAACTCGCCATTCGGCGTAAAATAGCCCGACTCAGTCTCCTTCATAAACTTTATCATGGCAAAAATCTTCGTGAACAGTTTATTAAACCCCCCTCATTCATATCACCCAGATTGGACCATCTGCAAAAAGTTCATGTTCCCCGCTGCAGAACCGTAACCTATTCGCATGCCTTCATTCCAAGAACCACATCCGAATGGAATCTACTACCACAATCAGCTACGGCTATTACCGATACATCACGTTTTAGGGCCTTTTTGCAAAACATATTTTGCGATGTTTGATTTTGCTTCGTGTTATATATGTCGGTTTTTTTTTTTTTCAAAATCGTTGTCATGTATTCCCGCTGCTACATTTAATTCTTTGTTACTGTGTGTTTTTGCCAACCGCTTTGTATTTTCCCTTCTTTTCCTTTACGTTTTGCCGTTTGCTGTATTATTTTTGTATTGCCACTCCCCTCTGTAATGCCTTCGGGCCCTGAGGGTACCATAAATAAATAAATAAATAAACAGTAATGCAATAATGCATTTGTAGGATTTAACGTTTGAAAGCCACCATATGTTAGTGAAGACGCCGTAGTGAAGGACTCCAAAAGTTTCCACCACCTAGTGTTTTTAATGTGCACCCAAATTTGAGCACCCAGCCCCTCTGTACTTTCGCCTCCATCAAAAATGCAGCCACCTCATCCGGAATTACATCCTGTGACCTCACGTAACGGTACTGAGTAACCTGACTAAAATCACAACATAAAGTAACAGATAAGAATGTGACATGTCTGGCATGTCTAGGCATACTTAGTAATACCAGTGAAAATATAGGATCTCTGGCAAAATTTGGCAATACGAGCATAACTCTGCTAGTTCAAAAAGTAGCTCCACTGATAGTTCCAGCCTTTCACCACTAGTTAAAGGTTAGAAAGTCTTTGAGAAAGACGTTGTTTGCACAGTTCAATTCATACTAAAAAGTTGCTTTTCACATATCATGTTTGATCAAATAACTCCGTCTTAGCAACATCACTGGTTATCTGCTAACATAGGTACACATGCGACCACTGTAATTTGCACTGTTAATGGTATTACATACCTGGGAATGTAGAGGACTCTCTCAGCTACAACGAAGCCAACGGTGACGAATAGGTTGGATGCCGGAAGGAATGGCAGCACTGTCAGGAGCAGGGGCACCAGTAGTCTTAATGAATGGCCGCGCAGCCGCTCATTATTGTTGTAGGAACACAGTTGTTCTCTTGATCCACCGGCAGGCTACATGCGTCACATGGAATAACAATCACTTCAAACTCTCCACCTATCTTAGTATACAGCTATCAATAACAATTTTCGTGCAGCGCATGTGATACAGAACGTTTCTTCCGAAGACACACATGCAAGCACGCAAATACACTCATGCGCATGTGCACAAATGTTAAAGGTAATACTTAAAGTGGCTGAAAGTCGAGCTACTCTTGTAAGGACTCATAATGAAGGAGGTAACGCATTGCAGAATGGAACGCAACAGAAGGAACCCAGACGGGGTTTGTGTTGTATTCATCCCTTTATTTGTGTTTGTGTTTGCACCCCCTGCCTTCATGATTACTTTCGCTTTTAAACTTTCCTTCTGTCTCAGGTAGTAATTGTGCGGTGCTTTCGTCTATTTGATGATGTGTAAGAATGATATAAGTCCTCAATGATGAAGCTTTATTAGGTCATATCGAGAGTTCTGACTGTCACTACAAGAAAGGCCAATATATAATTTTTGAAGAGACGTATGAAGTTTGGCTAGTTGAATGTTGTTTAGGGCAGAGGGCATAAAATAGTGGAGAACACAAGGACACAAATTTTCGCACCAATACAGATGCCTGTCTATAGTCATTCATGTTTATTAATGTATGTTTTTTAAAACAGAACAGTGAACCCGCGTCTGAACGGGCTAGTGAGACTATTCGTCCCGTCATAGAGGAACTCGTTCTCTGGTTTTGATAGACAATCCAGCTGATAGATGATATAACTCGTGCCCTTGGGAAAGGACAAGTATAGTATAGCCATCTGCAAATAAATGTAGCAATGTCGAGCTTTCTTAAAAGGCACCATACGAAAAAATTGCGCAAGTAGGTTTAAGCGCCATTGCCCTGAAATGTGAGGAGAATAAAAATACTGGTCACCTCAACTTATTACAAGTTGGCTACAACACCGAACGCATGTTGAACTCGTGATGATAAATAATTCCGAATTTCTCTGAAATCAACGCCTTATAGTGCTTTCCAGACTCGAAATTTGATGGTCTTCAGAACAAACAGAATATTTTACTTTTTTGTGGCAGAAATGTACCACTTTATGTCCATGCATGATTAACACAAATAATTGCATTTCAGTACCTCTTCTCTCTAAAAAAATGGCATAAATGAAATTAAAATAAATGATCGTTGTGCCGGGTTTGGGCAATGCGCACAGGAGGAGAATTACGAAACGTTATGTGAACTCACGCTGCTTTTTATTTTTATTGTCGTCAAAGCCCGCCAGCCGAGAGTCAATAGCGAAGCGAGTAACGCCAGTGTAGCCAGATTCCTGCAGTCACTCGGTGACGTCACCAGAGGTATACTGCCCATCTGCCAATCGTATGACAGGGTGTGTGGACACAGCACTAGCCAGGCGTTGAAGGCACACAGGTAGCTGTAAGTCAGCAGCCTGTCATAAAGGAAAGATAGGAATCAGAATGGGCGACGTACAATGCGCATTTGCAAAGCTTATTTTAAAATCAACGTCGTCGTCCACAATTGTTTACGCAGTGCTGCACACCTGCTCTGTCCTCGTTCTGAAGTGAAGTGAAGTTGTTAGCATGTGCTCAATTCTTTTATTTATGTGCCAATGATTGAGCAACCATTTGTGATGCAATATTGGTTCTCGCAGTTAGTAGTGACGAAACACTGCTAGTATTTTTACAACTCAAAACGCTGTACACAGACATATACGTTAGATAGATGATAAAAGCTGCAGCATAATTAATCATTGTTTTACTAGGAGTTAGGATTTATTTCGGAAGTGTGTAGTTATTACATAAACATGCATAAACATTATCTACAGCATTTTCTTCGCGTTTCTCAATGCCTGGTTTCATTTCTTTCGCCCTTCTTGAGCAACTTCATGTTCGCCATAGCAGAATGAACAATGAACAGACAAAAAATTATTCAACCTGTGCAGTAATTTAAAAGGCTGATCTTATGCTTATGTTGCTCTTCTATGTAATTTCGAAATAGCCACTTATATCAAGTAGTTCAACACCTGCATTTCAATATGTTTGCATTTCAATAGTTTTATCTGCATTTCAATATCTGCATTTTCTTTTATCTGCAATATCTGCATTTCAATAGCTTTCTCAGCGTGACTACGCCAGTTGTCAAGATGTTCTCAGTGTTTGAGATATTTATACGGGACTTCAAAGTAAATACAAAAGAAACATCATAATAATTTAGTTTTCAACTATCTACAATAATGTAATCTTGTTCTATTCTAGATTGTACAAGCAACCGCTTGCCCCTACAAAGACCACCTATCTCAAATATTCTGCTTAGCGAAGGGTCTTCGATACGGTGATTCAATAGACCTTTTTTCATAATTGTACAGCAAGCCTTTCTGCTATGTAGCCTGCCCAGTTAATGCTGATTAGGCAGTTACTACAAAGAGGTTGTTCTTGCGCAGTTTATTTGCACTATGACATAGAAATGTAGGCTCTGCTCCCTTGACATAAACAGGCATAACAGACAAGCCGCAGTGCGTGCAACTAGGAGCTTGTCTCGACTTGAAACTTAGCAGGTGCTGCCATTAGTTCATGGAATGTAAGTGCGGAGAAGTGCACTTACTGAATAATAAAGGGGGTATAATAGCTAGAAGCCATTACTGCATTTTCAATTAGCCTAATGATAAAGCATAGTGTATAAATACCACTAGTGCTATTTGAAGGATATGGTCACCTGGTTGCACTCGTCGACGAGAAGGACGCAGGGTTGTCCATCTCGGTGAATTCGGGTAAACTTCCTTGCAGAATACATAGCCTGAAGCACAGCAGCAATATCGTCTGTACAGGGAAGCAAAACACAAGATATTAGCCAATTATAGGTTATATTGAGGTTTTTTTTACTTTAATTTCTGCCAGTGATTATATCGAGGACGTCAATAATTTCGTCGTTTCATGCAAGAAAACGATTGCCATGCACCGACTGTTTAATCCTTTGCATGAAGCAAAAAATAAACAAATAGATGCTTCTCACACTGAAAGGTTAGGCAGTTGAAGAATATGGCATTTGAAAGTTTAATTGGAGGGGCAGCACGTTAGTGAGTTGAAAACTATTCGCTCTGAAAACCTGAATTATAGGGCAGAAACTAAAGCTATGTTCATTTCGAGAGGCCTTCATGATTTCTTTTGAAAGACAAAACAACATTCCTTTATTTTTGTTTGCTGGCACTTTACTCGTATTTTTGTTGTGACAGCATTGCACTTTACGACGCAGCACATGTATAGGAATCGCTGTGATTGTCATTATTTTCATCGCTTCGTTTATTTACATCTTTGTCAATTTTTCAGCATCAGCAAATTCTCATTTTCGTTTTTTGGAAACAATGTATTACACCGACACCGACACTGGAGTAAATGCGAAACGATTTCGTTCACACTGTGGCCTTATTAGAACGCGAGAAAGCACAGAAAAATATGGCGAGAGAGGATCGGAGGCGAGACCGTTGCTCCATGCTAGGATTGTGATATCGCCGTGCAATTCTTACACTTTTCCGGAAGTGACTATGCCTCACTCGCACGTACTGGACATACAATAAAGCAAGATACAGAACAAGTAGTGTCATTCCACGCCAACTGTCCCCACCAGAGCACTCGATAAAAATTTATTTCTACGAAATAGTTTGACAAAATTACACACATATGGACAATAGTTTCAAAGTAATTTCTCGAGATATTTTGAGAGGCAAAAACTTTTCCCGCCCGTGACCACCCTTTACAATTCACGAAATGATGGAAAACAGGTACGAAAGAATTTCCGTTATTTGATTGTTTCGCACATTATTTCAATACTTGCTTTTTTACGTTTCTACAGCAACATGCTGGTACTATTAAACAGTTCCTTATCATTGCTTAAAAATTTGCACTCTTCAGAGTGTACCAAAAAATAAGCAAATTGTAGTGTTTCGAGAATTTTGCTGCGAAACACGACCCTTATTAGAATGCGTAAATTACTTTTTTTAGCTCCAGGTAAAATTTATTATATACATATACGTTTGTTTTGTCGGGTTGTGACACGTAGACTCTATAATAAATCTCTAAACTTGGCGAAAACGCCACTTCAGTCTAATTTGTGACGTCTGTAGCACCCTAAGGTGGTAATCGTAGCCATTTTGTTCACAAAAGTATAATCTAAGCCATTTTTATTTAGTGAAAGAAACATTTTTGAAGTTTATTCAACCATCATTACCAGTGAGGTTATATTAAACAGAGGTAAGGATATAAAAATGCGAAGGAACTGCACGTCACTACGCTCCCAATGATGAATTGCGTTACTTACTTCCATTAGCACAAAGCACAGGCGGCGGCTGACGACTACGCCATATAAGAATCTGATATTATCTCATGATAGCTGTGAGTCAGTGCATGTTACCAGACTGACGATTCCTACTTTAATCAATATCTGTTGCCAGCAGCCACCCAAACAAGCTGAGAAAAAGCAGCTTAGCATACTCTGTCGTGACATATGGACGCCGTGCGGTAGGCGCGAATGCGCAGGACGTCGTCTCATCGTGCGCCGTTTGAGGAATACACAGGTGAATTTTGTGTGAACCAGCTCGTGCGATTGTGCGAAAGGGTCATGAGCGCGGTTATTGACTACGATCACGCCCCCTTCGCACAATCCATATGGACGTTGCGACATCTTTTTTTTTTACGTCAATGGAGTCTCTTAGCCACATGCAATAAATGTAACGCGATTCATTATTTGGAGCGTAGTGACGTAAATCATTTGCAATGTTATATCTTTACCTCAATATGTGGTATACAAGATAGAGTACTAATAAGCTGAACATTAAACCATACTTTGCAAGTGCACTACCACTTAATTATGCGGCGAATTCAGTTGGTTTGTATTGCCCCCAAAACAATACAATGGAATAACGCGTATAAACTTCAAAAATGTATTTCTCTACTAATACGAAAAATGACTTCGAATACACTTTTTGTGAACAAAGTTGCTATGATTATCAATCTTATTCATTTTTCACCAGATTTTTTGTGGAGCACTTAAGAGTACTACAGACGTCTCAACTTAGACCAAACGGGCGTTTTTGCCAAGTTCAAAGTTTTATTTTCGGGGCTATGTGCCACACACTGGCAAAACAAAAATATTTTACACAGTAAATATTACGCAGAGTTTTATGATAATGATTATTCTTTCTATTGAAGGTTTTTATTGTAGCGAAGTTCTGCGAAAACACAACAATTTGCTTAGTTTTGTGTGCGCTTTGAAGATTTTGAAGCTATGATGAGTAACTGTCTTATGTAATACGAGCACGTTGCTCTAAAAACGCCAAAAGCAAGTATTGAAATAATGTGCGAAACAGTGAATTTATGGGAATTTTTTTATTCCTAGTTTTCCGCCATTTCTTGAACTTCAAATGGCGGCCACGGACGCAAAAATGTTTTGACGCTGCAAATACCTTGGAAAAATTTCTTAGGGTTAATGCATATATTTGTGTAATTTTCTCAAACTATTTGACATAAAGTTATTGTTGGTGAGCGCACGGTTGGGATAGTTGGCATGGAATTACCCGATATAAGTAAGCGCGGAGGCGTACTCATTGAGAGAAGCCTGACGAAAACAGTATGAAGACTGTTAAGGTTTGTTCTATCACTCCTGCGCAGCGTGGCAACGCTATTGTTCTGGTCCAAGGCAGACTTATTGGCACCAAACTGCGCTGTTTATCAATCGCCGTTCTTTCCTTTATAAAAGCGTGTAGCCCGCCTACGCGATAAAAAATCCGCACGCACACTGTGACGGGCCCTATTCATTATGTACTTCACCGCTGAGTGGCATTTGTTGAGAAAATAGGCGACCAGTTAAGCGTCGACCTGTGTAGTACAGTGGCAACAGTTTTTCGCTCCTGAAACGAAAGGTCCGTGTCGGCCGAAGTGGTCACATTTCAATGCAGGCGAAATGCCAGGCGCCTGTGTAGGTAACTGTGTGATGTCAGTTACAAGGAAACGAACCCCACATGATAAAAACTTTAAGAGCTCAACGTGTCTCATATTCATGGCGCGGTTCCAGCTCGTAAACGTCCACATACTATACCCTTACTGGGCAGAGAGCTGTGAGAATGAGAAGTCTAGATGTGCTAGAATAAATTGTCGGTTTTGTCATTATGTATGTGGATGTGGGAGAGTTTACAAGTTCTCAACACGCCGAAAAGATCTCCTGGTAAATACTAACCATAGCCCCAATGGTTGCTTCAAATAATTTTTTACTTTCATAATACCAACATTACCAATGGAATAAGACGTGTAATGTAATAAGTTTCCTGCCTATACAGCACGACACTATCAGTGATTTTAAATGCGAAGCATTTCTTAGTGAACTTCGGCGACTTTCAGCGTATCTATCTATCTATCTATCTATCTATCTATCTATCTATCTATCTATCTATCTATCTATCTATCTATCTATCTAACTAACTATCCGCCACGAATTTTGGTTCTCCTGGCTGTTTTGATAATGGTATCGATACCAAACTGGGTATGGCATAACATGGCTGTATGACGAGCATACTTGACTTGTCACAACATGAAAATCATGACATGTACGTCATGAAAATCATGACTTACATTACGTGGTCCTTACTCTTGCAGTGATTTCGTTCCCATGACTTGTTGCAAAACTGTTATGGCATGACATGTTTGCATGGCGAACACAAGCGACAGACCCTAGCATGAAACTCATGGCATGTGTGTCATGTAACATCATGGCTACGTTCCACGCTCACGATGCGCTCACGGCTAATTCGCTAGCGTCACATATACCAAATTTCGTATTACGGTATGTGTATAATGACAAATGTATGTGACTGGTGCAAACACGATAAACATGAGATGCGTGTCATGTAACAACATGACTACATAGCATGCTCATGATGCACTCGCGGCCGTTTCGCTAGCTTCACATGTACCAAACTCGGTATTACGCGACGCCAATCGATGACGAAAGTATGTGACTGGTGCAAACATGATAACCTTGAGATGCGTGTCATGTGAGAACATTACTACATGTCATGTGAGAACATGACTACGCCACTACATTTTCACGTGACGCCGTGCGCGTGCTCGCCGGCGTTCATTTCGTCGCGTCACGCCAGCGTTGCGACGCCAGGCGCTGGTCCTGCCATACACTCGCAGGTGCCGCCGCGCTGCGTTGCTTTGACGCATGCTCATTTCAGTGCGTCCGGCGTCCCTCTGTCACGAATAGAGGTAGACGCAGTGCAGTATAGGTAAGCTTTGGCGCGAAATACAGCATGTCGCATTTTGCACTGGTTGCCGTTGGGCCGCGCCGACAGACGCTGGTCACGCCTGTCGCGCCTGGAGTCAGACTATAGACTGCTCGCGTTTTGCTAACGAAGCGTCACTGTGCCCAGCGTGCGCATGCGCATGCGTCAACGCTACATAGGAGTATATTGGGCCCTTCACGATGCGTTCGTGGCCGTTTTGCTAGCTCCACATGTAGCAAATTTGGTGTTACGTGACGTCCATGTATGACGAAGGTATACGACCGGTGCAAACATGATAACCCTGAAATGAGTGTCGTCTAAGAACATGACAACATACCCCGATCATAGCGCGCTCACGTCCGTTTCGCTAGCTCCACATACACTAAATTTAGTATCACGTGATGTGAATAGATGACGAAAGTAAACAACACATCGAAACACGATAATCATGACACGGAAGTCATGTACGCCATAATTTCCCTCCGCCTTTTAACGTTGTGCTGATTTTAAAGTGACATATAACTCTTTTTCATACGTGCTTCACATATCATCGATTCCAACTGTGCGTGGGATCTGCCAAATTTTTTTTCACTTCGAAACTTTATGAGAGTTAGATAGGGCCAAATTTCTATAGGACTGAGTTGCCGTAAATGGACGTACCTCTTGGTGAGCTTCCTGTCGATTCAGCAATTGAACTGCACATAAGTGCGTTCATGCTTGAAAATTTGGCAAGGCCTTTTAATAAATTACAGCCTCGGGGCCTGCACTATGAACTTGTAAAGCAATATTGCCTCTTCATGCTCGTCATTCATTTTTTTATTCTTTAAATATATACTGTATAGTGAGTGGTACAGTGATAGTCATTTGCCTATCACCCATATTACGGCTCCAAGAACACCAGTCCACGCACGAACTAGACATACAAAGAGGTATACGGATATATATGCTTCTCTTGCCATATAAACCCCAGCACTTCGTTGGATGTGTCAGTGGAAAATATACATAACACATTTCGCGTTTTCAAGTGTAAGGGAAAAAAGCGCAATGCTCCTTGAGTGAACACTTCAATTTTTTTAGCAAGTTTGAGCATTACTAAATGAATACAGATGTCCAGATAACTATGTTTAGAAGTCTTATACAGCGCTCCCTTTAACGCAGGCAAATGTGAAGCAAGGAATCACTTACCAGTGCCGTGAGCTTCACAAGCTCACAATCCGTGATGCATCGGTAGGCAATGTCTCGTATACAGTATCTGCAGACTGGCCTGAAAGTTACAGACGCTAACTTTTTCTTGTGTTTAAAGCTGCCATTGAAAATTTCGTGCGCAGATCTCTTGCACTTTTTCAAAGATATACTCAATAACGCTCGTATATTGCAATCGAGCAACAATGTTTGAGATCACAAGATCTACTTCCGAGAGAGAACCATGGCTGGCCTTGAAGTTGAGGGTTTGATTGAAGCCCGTCTGGTCAGCATGAAACATTAGGCTAAACTTTGTCTATTAGAAGTCCAGACGTAACCCACATGTTGTTGTCGGCCCACAAAAAGGGCTGCAACAACACAAAGAGTTAACATTTGCTGCCCGAGGATATGGCTACCACGGCTCAAAAGTGGTGCTAAAAGCTTTATTTAAACTTACTGATAAATCAGAATCAAACTGCGCATCTGTCAGGACAAGTTGGGAATGACCTCCTCACCTTGTTTCACCTTGTTTTCACGTTCAGAACGCTGTCTGATGCACTGTTTGATTTAATGCCGAACAGCAAGTTCACTGTAGCATGCCAATGCATTCATATGGAGGTTGATGCTAAACTCTTTTATTCGTAAACATTTGTTGTTTTTCTTTTCGAAATGTAGAAGCGAGCTCACAAAGCTTTATTGAATGCACGAGTTTGTGAAGTAGCTGCGAACTATGCGCGGTAATTGTCGAGAAGGTTTGTAAACAGTAATCAGGCACACATGTTCGTGCGTTCAAAATGCGCAAACAGGTTATCACCATCTGGTACATCTCCACATGTTGAAATGACGCAATAAAAGATATTTAAAGGGACCCTGTAACAGTTTTTACGATTTTTCACAAACACATTGGGCCGGTAGACCAAGTTCCAAGGGTAGTTTAGAGACCAATTTGAGCTCTCTGCGTAAACTGTGTGATTTAATACAACGCTTTAAAACTGCGAATTGCTCCAGATCGCTGCGGCTCGGCCAAACGGGTTTTCAACCACCCATACACCAAGCGACACGCTCTGCCTCAGTGACGTCATCGTTTCCAGCTGGTCTGATTGGCGGTGGAACGTGCAGCACAGACTGCCGGTATCGGATCGGCTGCAGGATTTGCGCGTATGCGGTCTCACGCCACATCGTGACGCAGGCGCCGTAAAGGCGGAGCTTAGGCCCGAGCGCTCGAAGAGTTGAGGGCAGTTGAGGCTGAAAGGCGGAGCGGAGGAGGAGGGTACTTTTTTAATACTCGTAGTTCCGTTAATAATGAGTGTTTCGATTGAACTCTGGTGCCAATGATGCTTCAGTAGTGGTCTGATAAAAAAGGAATGTGAAAAAACTGTTTTATAGGGACCCTTTATTTCAAGTAACGGTAAAAAGATATAGAACTTACCATTTCCGGCACTGAGCTTTATGGCACCGAGTCTCTTGTTCCGCGTGCATATAATCACACACTAATGTGTGCATCCTGAGAGCCATGCACAGCGGCAGTACTGTGATGCCTTGCTCTTTGGAGAGGAGCGCACACACGGAAAGCAGACCCCAAGCTGCGAGCCACTTTAACCTTTCATGACCTCCTTGTACATCTCGAGAACGTTGGTAGCTGTTCCGAGATAAAAGTCAATTGAAACGCATATCTCAGGGTTGTCTTAATCTCTGGCCTATCGTATCTGATGAAAATAAGAATGCGAGTATTTCAGAACGTTTTTTTTTTAAGAGCACGCAGTCTGCGTGCAAATTGTAACGAGATGCTCATGCCACAACGAAATTACTTTGCTTATGAGATATGCGATTCGTTTTTCTTTCGCCATATCTGTACATTTGTGACAAAGCATGAGCGTACTATTTGTGGAAAGGATAGCAGAGTAAGGTGCAGTATCTGTAGTTTAACTGACCCAACATGCTGTACAGAGACGGTTTCAGTAATAGGAAACCTAAAGTCACATAGCAAAGTTCATAAAAATAGCCAAAAACTGAACCTATCCTATTTACATCAGATAGCAAAACCAACAGAGGCACTATATTCAAAAATGAATTGTAAAGAATCGCACGTTGACGTAGTCTGTTTAAATTTCTTGGTGCAGTTGATAGGCAGAACTATAGTAGCTGTATTAACAAATTTTACGTGGCCTTGTATTGTGCCAGTGAAGAACACGTCGTTGAAATTCTAGAGCACATTTAGACGTAAGTTCTCTAAGCTTAGTAACAATAAATTACGCAATAATAGATGCTTATTTGAAATATGTTGACAGGTAATCCCAATGTTGATTGCTCTCAGTTACTCTTTATATTGCACGGAATCTAAATCTGTACTAATGTGCCGATCATGCTCATGGCCATCGTTTCAATGGAACCCTAGACCCTTCACATTATTTTGATTTTGGCATATTCTGAGCGCAATCACAATTTCGGTGCAGAAGTATATAGCGAAGATCTTTTCAGCAGCACAGAACAGCGCGTTAATACTTAGCCAACGCATCTCCGTCTCTTTTTCACTATCTCTTGAGGAAAAAAAAAGCAAATGATTCAGTAACAGCATCATTACGAAACACTCATAACTAACAATTTACTGATTGGGCAGTCTTTTCGTTCACAATTGAAAGCACCTCCCCTAAATAAATGCGGCGATCAGGGTCCACTACTCACGCTATGTACAGTTGTTAACAAATCCCGTGCTTTACCCACCGAACCTTCATATTGGTCATTTGTACTTGACATTAACAGTCCGTGCTAATGCGCGAAACTGCAGCGTCAGTTCGTAGAGCTAATTATGCCTAACAAAACTGCTGAGACAGCCTGCGCCTAGGCTGCTTTTATATGAGCGGGGATGACCTTTTCAGTAAGAAAACTACGTGCGAATCGGCAAAATTGCAGCAGGGTAATTGTCCCCCGATCGGCGCACCTCTGATTCAATGCCTGGTGAAAAGCACGCTGCTATCTAAAACGCATCAATCAGGCAGCAGCTGATGGTGAACATTTCAAAGCGTTTTTACGTAAAATTCAATGGGAGCACTATCAGTATTCTTCTTTCTCGCACTTTTTTGTTGACTGATAGCAAAAAAAACACAAATAAATATAGTAACGCCAAGAGACTTCTTTAGAATATCGCATTTCATAGTTCTCCAACTAAACGCTAATAAACATGCTTACTCTCCACGTTTACTTAGTTCGCGAATGCAAGGCCTTGACTCATGGTCATTGCTTCAGTTAAATCACGAGATTGCTTTTTCATACAAGGTCGCAGCTTAATATTTCATCTCTTTCGTGAGATATTGGTGTTATGCATCTCATTACGCAAGCTAAGTGACTCTGTGGGCAACTTTCCACACGGACGTTTGAGATTAGGGTCTACTTGGTAGAAAGAGTAGAATAATATAAAAGTGAGCCAATAGCATACTGTGGAAAAAAGAAAGAAAGAATATAGAAAAATATAAAGAAACGAAATATGGTATTGTCTCCCACACGCACATATACGTCCCACAGGGACATTAGTGGCAGATCGCATATTTGCATCCCATCTCACCACGGTGCTCTAGTGCTTTGGAACTCCTGCCATGGCGCTCCAATTTCAATGGCGATGAAAAACATTCGATGTGTTGCGCTAAGATATAGGTGGCTGCTAGATCACTCCAGTTGGTCGGTTATTCAAGATCTCTGTACGGCCTTCCTCATATCCTGTAGTAAAGTGGTGTACTGGTCGAGTGTGTGTAATAATATGGCGAGAAGTAGCGCGAGGAAAACACGACGCAGAGAAGAACACACAGGACAAGCGCTGTCCCGCGTGTTCTTCTCTTCGTCCAATTTTTCTCGTGCTAAGTCTGGCCATTAGTCCTTCGTTATCACCTCATTCTTCCAGGATGTTAGAACGCGAGAAGTCTTGTTATTGCATAACGCGGAAATAGTCAAGCTGCGGCTGGCAGTATTGGTGTCGGTGATGCGAGTTTTCAAATTAAACATCATTGGGTTTATTTAAACACACTTTGGTTCAATTAGAAAATTCAAGTTTATTACTCACAGTGACACGTGAATTGACCATAGTTTGCTGCAATAAAGTCCCGCATTTTCATCAGGCGTCTTATTCCCGGCTACTCACGTACAAATGAGCCTAGTGATTTCAACAACTTGAGAGTGTGCTTTGTTTTCTCGTTATACCGTGAAGAAAGCCTGCTGAACCTTAACGCTATGATTCAACAAAACTCATCAAGACTAGTGAAGCGGAATGACTATCAATGAAAAAAATATGTAAAGCAATGACTATGAAAGCTTGTTCACCAGGATATGAAAAAAAATTTGGAATCATACACGCACTGATGTAGTAGTTGCATCTTTTACAGAAGTAGATTGATTGCATTTTCAAAACGAGAATAATATATTCCGAATTTATCATCATCTTCAAATATAATATGCGTATTATTTTATGACGCAGCAACATAAGACTGAGCGACCACTGCGGAGATATGTAATGTCGAAACAATCATGCTGTTCGCCTAAGCATGTCATTCTTTAGTCTCTCATTTCCGGGCATAAACAAAAATGCCTAATGTCACAAGATGTCCCACATTTGCATTAAAAAACGTTTTATTGAAAAACAAGTTAGTGTGCTCACAACACACTTTTTCTTACTTAACTAAAATCATTCTGTAAAAAAATTTCAGCAAGGTAACATAAAACAGCCGATTGCCTACACGGAGAAACTTTATCATGAAAGCCTACGGTAAATCGACAAAGTAGAATTTCAGGTTTGTTAAAATAAAACTACAAAGCTGCACATTAGCCTGTCAGTGAGGTACAAACGGAAAGTAAAAGATCGCGCACATTCCCGGGCAAAATATATTGAAAATTAAATGAGCAGCGATTTTTCTCTACGGCCGAGTAAGTAAATAGTGTCCCTGTCCAAAGATCCGTCATCTTTTCTTTATTCCTGGTGCAGCTACAAGATAGACGCCCGCAAAGTTCGCCAAAAATTAGCCAATCGTTCACTGTCAGTAAAAGCGCCTCATTCATAAAAATGACATTTTTATTGCGGCAATACACCTGATAGGTATTGAGCAACTCATGTCTTGCCTGAGGCTATTACAAAAGCCAATTTAAAAGTGAATTCGAAATCCCATGCCGAGAAGTTGGAAGCGAAAGGGTTCAGATTCTTTGCTGAAGCAGAAGAAAGGCTAGAAACTCATATTTAAAAGCACGACTTGGAGAATTCTGGGGAAAGCCATCTCAAATACGCGTTTTAATTGTGATAACATTACAAAACAGCATTTCATTTATTACCGTTGCAAGGCAAATCTTATAAGTAACGACCAGGGTTTCAAAATATGTCTAATATCTCTGCAACTAAGAATGTAAAGAAGAATAACTGAGACCACAAAACGTTACGAAGATGACTAGGTTGATCACATTATTTAATTCCAAGAAAAACTTTTTGGATTACTCTGTTGTGTCATTCGGGAGAAGTACGGATGTTCCCGAAGGCACAATCAACGAACCCACTTTCAATATCAACTGCATTTTTTCTCATGACTTTTTATTGTATTTTATTTTGGCGCACGCTTACTGCACAGGAAGTTTTGAAGTGCTTTGTATGACCTCTCGGTTCAAATCTAGGGATTTTAGATACAGATTACGTAATTTGACAATGCAAAATAAGCAAGGACGTTTTAAAGCTCCTGTGTGCCAGATTATGAGTAGACTTCACGAAAATGTGCGATCAGCGGAAATGCGTTTGTTGCCAAAAATAATACTGTGTAACTAAGTAAAATGAAGTGTGCCCGAAGAAAATCTTGTATATATAAATGGAGCTTTTACTTTCTAAAATCAAATCATTTTCGATACCAGGCCTAGGAAAACAGACAGCTTTTGGATAGGTCTCCTTGCTTGAGTGAAACACACATAATATCATGACACTGTCTGAGGTAAATGTAGCAAAATAATCCCGCGCATTATTAATCTTCGTGTAAGTGCACGACCAATGACCACTCATACGTATTCTTACCGGTGGTAGCAGAGGAGAGACAGCAAAAAGAAGAGGCAGCACAGCACCTCGGCACGGCCCACTATACTCGACACCTGCGCCAGGGTGACAGATATGAATAAACAAGCACGTTCTATGGAGCACACTTGGCGATCAAAATAACCTTAAAGTACTCAGTGCGGCATATATATCGAAGTTATACAATGCAGAAATGCAAAACAAAACAAGGCAATAAATGCAAACCCGTGGAGCTGCAACAATAACACAAGGAGAGATCACCGGCAAAACAGCACTCTTGCTTCTCCTACACACCACAATAAGACAAGTAGAATATGAGACAAAGCAAAAAAAAAAACTTGTCCAGAACACAACACCGATGGTTTATGTATAGAAATAAGCAGTTGGAGTAATCGATATATAGAACCAATCAGAGCAGGCGTTCTAGTCTTGAGAAACAAAAGAGTACTCACGGCCTCGGTGTGCACTGGATGAGCAGCGAACAGCATCGCGGCCAGGCACGCATGGAGCGCAGTTATTCTCATCACACGGCGTGCGACGACAGCCACCAACACTGAGCATGCGCAGTGCAGGGTGACATTAACAACGTGGTAGCCACGCACCTGCCGCCCATTGACGTAGTAGTTGGCTCTGTGAGAGAATACAAAAAGACCTGCACATGAAGAGTTTCCAACGTAACCCATCACTGTTGAAGTGTATGACCAACCACCTGGCATAGACCAAATAAATCAATGTGATGCTGCAACTGCCCCTGCAATGAAGCTCTCTATTCTGTCAAAGTGGAATTATTTCGTAAAGTCTAATCAAGTGAGGCGTGAATATCCTTTAGGTGGTTTTATGGCGTCGATGCAAATGCATGTCGTAGAGAATATAACGCTACTCCATGAAAGATAACATTAGCTGTTCATTAGTTTTATTAGCGGCACGAGCACAAAGTGACGTTCTCGTTGCTCTTGTAACCATTTCCGTCACAATATTTACGATTTTAAGAATATTAAAAAGAAACCTTTCTAAATATCTAGTATGGAATTAACAGATCTGGCCAATAATAAAGGTTTTTTCGAGTACATATAATTTCAGAGCATAGATATACTTAAGTTAAAAACGCTTTGAGTTTAAGGATAAATAATACTTATTAACTCAAATAATGTCTTGAAAGGCAAGCTGTTTCCTTTAGAGCAGCGATCACTGGGGTAACTGGCGGACATAGTATTTTATTCAAGCGCTACTTTCTACGTCTCGAAATAAAGAAAAGCGGGTCAGGCCAGAACCCGCGATGCTTCTCTGTCCTAACTTTTTAGCCACTAGTAAAAACTACGAGTTTTTATGCAGTATACCCACGTCATAGCTTGTCACGTAAGAAAGGTCGTCTGATTAGTTTACGTAGTAATTTTTGAGGCTAACTGTAAGCCATTCCTGCCTCCTCCAGCGGTACAGTGGTGACAGTGTTCGGCTGCCGATCCGAGGTCCCGAGCCACGTCCCGAAAGCTGCCGTCACTCTTCGATGGAGGCTATGTCCCAGGTGGTTGTTTACTCGGCGGTACCAACGCACGTTAAATATCAGCACATTGTAAAATCTGTGGAACCTTCCACCCCGCTTGCCTAATAGATTACGCCATGCTTTCAGCAGATAGAGCCTTAAATAATAAATATTATTAAGAGATGTAGTCCTGTTTCTTTACGCGCTGGATAGATACAGCTAAATAAAACTGGAAATGAGAAAATGAGAGTTCAGTGCACCGCCAATCAGTAAGTCAGCTGCTAAAAAACACCACCCCAATAATCCTACATCAGTGTTTAGTCACCCTTTTTTTATTCATATATATATATATATATATATATATATATATATATATATATATATATATATATATATATATATATATATAATTATATATATATATAATATATATATATAGGTGACGTATGAAGGTAGCGATGGTTGGTAGAAGCCGAGAAGGAAGAAGTGAAATGTAATAAACATGGCGTATGAGCCAGGCCACGTCTGCCATTCATCATAGCGTTACACAAGTCGACAGGATGAAGACCTCGCAACCACTTCATCGCCCGACCATCATCATCGAAGACCTCAGCAAGACGCAGTGACCGAACGCGGACCACCAAGACCACCAAGCATCATGACAGCAGCATTAGACGACCTTCCCGTCCCCAAGTACACCGGAGCAGCGGACGATGGACCTGTACAGGACTGGTTCGACCTGTTAGAGTTCCACGCTACCGCTGCATCTTGGTCGGAACGGGAGATGGTTACGAACTTCAGCGACTACGTCACCGGTGAGGCATTTAAATTTTACCTCACCCACATATTCGACAACGACGAGTCTTGGCAAAAAATAAAAGAAGAAATGATCGTCTGGTTTCAAGACTCCAATGAAGATTCGATTAGAACATACGCTCTCAGTGCATTCGATCTCAGTCATCGCAGTCATAAGCAGCCTTCACGCGTTCGAGCACAGAGCAGAAGTTTACGATTCCCGTCAGGCGAAGTCAGTCATCTGCCCATAGAAAGACATCCTAGCCGTCTTTCTACAAGGCCGAACCTTCGACCTTGTTTCCCATGTACACAAATATCACCAACGCTAAACTCTTCCATACAATACACAAATCAAGACAACATTCAAGCACCCAATGTACTTGACTCTTCATCTTCCTTACGTAAGCCACCACCTGGTTTTGTGCCAAGTAGCTCGTCTGGTGCTTGTCACTCTCATCGCACCCCTCAAGAAATCGCCACATACGCAACTCACCACCTGAAATATCGGCCAAATACCTTGTCAAGCCACTGCCATTCCTAAAGCGATTGTACTTCAGGAACTCTTGGCTCAATTCTCCCGTAAAGAAATGAACCTACGGAATCGGAAACACGTCAAGCGATCTTTGCGGCGATGTCATTCACAGGAACCGGACCAACTGAAAGTGGAAACATTACGGAGTCACCATTCAATGCGAGTCTCGCCGATAAAAACGAAAATGTATCTACTGCTTTTCTTGACAGAAATCATGTTTGCATCCCACTCGTAAAGAATGCTGGCAATACCGACAGCGTCTCCTTATTCAACGACGATGACCAACCACAATTTTCTCAGAGCCATCACCAAACCAAGAAAATACGACGACGAACGAAAACTTCAACGGAAGCACACTCATGACTTGAACAACTTAAAAAATTAAGGACTTTGATCCAAGGGTCATTTCAAGACGTAGGACGTTTCCGGATGAAGGAACATCGCCACAGACGCTCTCTGCGTCTGCGGTTACACAGAAAACACCACGGAAAACGCCCAGAAAGACGCGGAAGCACTTCTTGCATGCCGCCAGCACACAGGCATCTAGCCGTCACGATCTCTCAAGAAGCACGCATTCTAGATACAATGCGTCTGTCGCAGCCACGACTCGAAGTCCGACGCATTAGACATCTAACCTTCCAACGCTACAAGGACTCCCAACCTTGTTCGTTTTTCGCTACTCATCCAGGCTGTGTCATCACCATTTACCACGTCGAATGCAGGGTTATGCTCTTCAGAACGCAACAGCCAACCCCGCCCACCTGAGGTCTCCTAGATGTCACTGGACTGCCTTCCCTGTGAAGATTTTTGTGCAAGTGCATGGAACTGCCGTGTTACATGGAACTACTCTATTTTGTGATATTTTTTCCTATGGTGAGACACCACTTGTTCATGCTTCATAGTTTGTAGCTCGCGCATTCTTTCGGGGGGAGAGGGAATCATGTGACGTATGAAGGTAGCGATGGTTGGTAGAAGCCGAGAAGGAAGAGAGTGAGATTGGAATAAACATGGCGTATGAGCCAGGCCACGTCTGTCATTCATCATAGCGTTACACACACACACATATATATATATATATATATATATATATATATATATATATATATATATATATATATATATATATATATATATATATATATATATATATATATATATATATATATATTCTTTAGTAACACTTCTCGTTTTCTAACGCACGTACTTAAAGAGCAAGCTTCATCAAGAGCGGCACCTTCTATGCTTTCTTTAGAATTACGATCCCTGCAGACGACGCCTTTCGTATTTCTTGAGCGTGCTAGTTCTTTTTGAATAGCATGATTCTTTCGCTATCAGCAGAGGACAGACTCCGCACATTACAGCTGCATTTCGCAATTCTTTTTGCCGAGTGCACGCCCACCATCGAAAAGATTGAAGCAGCAGAGAATCGGCATGTGCTAAACCTTCTCTGCTCAAAAGAACGGACGTCGCAAGTAGAAGCGGTGACTCACGTCGCAAGTAGAAGCGGTGACTCACCAAGAGCGTCATTAAGCAAAAAAGTAAGATGGTTTTTGGTGATAACGTTGGTCAGTGTTACTGTTTTTTTTTCCTTTTTCGGTTTTCTTTTCTTGTGTGTTGGCATGAGCAGCACGACGCGTTAAAAGAGGCATGTGTAGATGCGTATAAAGACATAATTTAATACTCGATATATTGAAAATAACACTCGCGACGTCTTTGAAAAGGAAGATATATTTTTTCTTGTAACACCTACTTTTCTCAGTGATGCTGAATGAGTGAGCGTATTTTAGCTGCTTAGCATTAAAAGAAAAAGAGGTGTGCACACTTCGTTTCAAATACATACTTCTCTCCTTATTAAACAAGGTTTTAAGCCCTGCATGCACATTTAGATTGCCAGCGCAGAGAATGCAATACGGTCGGCGGTGGACAGACACAGCTTTCCACTCTCTGAAAACAGCCACGAATCGTTCGTAGCTGCACGTATAAATATTATTTAGCCATTCCTAAACAGTGCCCCGGCACGAAATTACTCCCTTTTTTTATCTAAACGAACTCAGCAAATCCCTGCAGAACTGGTTGCAAATGCTAGTGTGCTGGCATGAGCAGTTGTGTGACAATGTTTTGTGCATTTTTTTAATTAGGCCACATTACCTATATTCTAGTAACATCAATGCTAAAAGATTATCTGTAAAACGCACACGAGTTGTTTTCCGCCACACGCCCCGCCGCGGTGGTCTAGTGGTTAAGGTACTCGGCTGCTGACCCGCAGGTCGCGGGTTCGAATTCCGGCTGCGGCGGCTGCATTTCCGATGGAGGCGGAAAGGTTGTAGGCCCGTGTGCTCAGATTTGGGTGCACGTTAAAGAAACCCAGGTGGTCAAAATTTCCGGAGCCCTTCACTACGGCGTCTCTCATAATCATATGGCGGTTTTGGGACGTTAAACCCCACATATCTATCATGTTTTCCGCCACACATCTCGGAATATTCATATCACGGGGGGCTACGACAGTGTTACGAACAAAGTACATATTTGGAAACAAAAGTTAGTTTATCTCGATGTCTTCTTAACCTATTGAATAAATATTGTCTAATATTAAGAAAGAAAGAACTGTGTAAGGACACTCCTACCTGTTATATGAAATGGCTGTTTCATTTTCATCACTGACGTAAGCCTTGATTTCTTCCTTGTGCAAAATGTTAGCGTCACTCAGTGAATATAGACACCTTGCTTTTTACACCAAAGCTACGTGCGAAAATTCAGCAGTTCCTGCCTATCTGATAACCTCATGACTTGGTCAGAAGACTACGGCATGCTTAGGACGTTCGA